CGCCCGCGCTGCTGCTCCTCGCGCTGGGCGCCCTGCTGTGGCCCGCAGCTGTCGCCTGGGAACTCACTATCTTGCACACCAACGACGTTCACAGCCGGCTGGAGCAAACCAGCCAGGACTCCACCAAGTGCAGCAACGCCAGCCTCTGCGTTGGCGGCGTGGCGCGGCTCTTCACCAAGGTGCAGCAGATCCGCCAAGCCGAACCCAACGTGCTGCTGCTGGACGCCGGCGACCAGTACCAAGGTACCATCTGGTTCACCGTGTACAAGGGCGCCGAGGTCGCGCACTTCATGAACGCCCTGCAATACGATGCCATGGTAAGACGGGAGTTCTGTGGGTAGGAGTCCCAGCCCGAGAGAGAAGCCAGCTGGAGAAAGAGCCGATGGTCCTGGCAGACCTTGAACCGGGTCGCAGAGAAAAATGAGGGCAGAGGTAGGCGCTGGCCAGGACGCCAGGTCGATGCCCGCAGGTATCACAGAAGTCCTTTGGGTGATGGTTTTTACTCAAGTGGGAGATGGGACCCCTCTTAAAGGAGCGGGACCCTGCTGTGCCTATAAGCAGCTTCAACTGCGTGGGAACACTGACCACTATCTAGCGGTTAAGGACTATATTAGGTTCATCAGGCGTCTCTCTCACTTCCTGATGGATCTTTTAGAGAATGTGTAGTCTCGATTTTATCAGGGAAACTGAAGGATAAAAACGCTGAACAAATAATCCAGATCAACCAGCTCCCAAAGAGGAAAACACCATAAGAATGGACACCGGAGTTTTTGAACATGGAAGCCTGAGAAAATCAGAGCCTTGGTAGATTTCAGGCACAGCTGTTTCTGTGTGACATTGAACGAGTTATTTACTCACTCAGTATGGTCTTCTGCAATATGGGGCTGATAATTTTATCTACCTTAAAGCATTAGTCTGAATATAGTATGCTCTATTTAAATGTTAGTTCTTGTTATTACCAGATACTACAGGAGATGTTAAAAAGAAAGAAGTACCAAAATGTTGATTTCAGTAAAGTAAGTTTGACAGCAAAGATTTAGGAAGAGAGCCCAAACTAAAAGATAAGGGGCCTAATGGGCCAGGGATTTAGTTCAGTGGTTCTGCCGCCTGCTTTGCAAGCCCAAGGATCAGGGTTCAATCTCCTATACAAAAAAAGATAAGGGGCCCTAAAACACGTGAAGAATTCAGTCCAAGCTCCCAATACTCTATTTTTTATGAAGTTTATTGGTGCTTTTTAGGTTTACAGTACAGTTGCATTCATCAGTGGAGTCCTGTACCTTTACATGACAGATCTTGGTTCTCATTTTTTCCCCTTCCCCTGCCCTCCCTTCACCCGCTCCACCCTCCCCTATTTACAAAGACTCTGTTTCCATTATTCCTTTTCTCATAGTTTTTCTTTTCCCTTCTTTCCTTTTCCAATACTCTATTAAATGTGATGTCTTGCTTCTTAGGCTGATAGAAATGGGACAGAAAGGGATTTACACAGTAACAGATAAGTATAATGGATATATATGTGTGTTGGTTGCTATCTTAATCAAACCACTACCCGAGTTTAACCCAGTATAAAGGTGTAGAGTAAAAAGGATTCAGGCAGACCGTAGAAAAACTGGGAATAAGGAAACTTAAGAATTCTGGAAGAGAAACAGGGGAGTTGTGAGGGTTGTGTGGCTGGAAGGTGTGGCTCTGGCTAGGGTACTGCAGACCGATTATACTTTGTACACGAAGAGCTCAAAGCTCAGCAGTCAAGACAACACAGTACTGTATTTTTTTCTCTTTGGAAACTTGGAAAAGAGAGGACTGTAAAAGGCAACAAGAGGACTCAATTGTTTGGGGGTTCCCAACAAGAAATCTTATTTTAGAGAAATGAAAACAGAAGGAGGCACCATCCATTCTGAATTTTGGTTTAGGGCTTAGCAAAAGCAGCACTTCAAAGAGGTGGCCAAATCCCTGGGTTCATGAGGAGGTGTCATGCTTACCACAGAAGGAAGAATTGTGAGTCTCAAGAACTCTGTGGTCTCTTGGCTTTCCTACTTCCACAGCTAGACCTGCCTGTGGGTTTGCAAGCAATGATGACAACATAAATATTTATACAATTGAATTGTTACTAGTTTAAGTCTCTCTGCTTCCTCGCACAAGGGTAGAATAAACCTTATGTGAGTTTGTTTGGATCTCGTGTATCAAGGACAGCTTTGAAACATTTTCTTTTTATGGCATCCCTTTCTCCACAGTTGCATAACACTTTTCTCATTAAAATAAAGGAAGATTCCTAATTTCCCCTAGATATTTTATCCCTTTTTAAGCAAAAATGAGCTCATGGTGTTAATCATCTTATCAACTGCTTTGACAAGATTGTTGAGTGAGGCTCAAGCCATCTGCTACAAGCTTCAGCCCATCTCCTCTGTGACTGTTTTAAATACTTCCTGTAGGATAGAATTACTTTCTTTTAAATTTTGCTTAAAATAATTGGACTGGGGCCTGAGGAAAAATAGGCTACTTATATAAAATTGTCAGGAGGGAAAGGGTGGGGAGGAGAGGGTGGCAAGTTTGATGGCCATGTTCCTGATCCCATCTCGTCAGTTTCCTCAGGATTGACAAAGGGTTTGACCTTTTAAAATCTTAGATCTTGGAGAGCTAAGGCATGGGATACAGCTCTGCAGTTCTTCTGCCCAACTGAGATTTCTCACTGTCATTTCACTTATATTACACTAACTCTTGAGGAATTTATTGGACCTGGTTTAAAAGAGCCTCATCTAAAGACTCAAGGGCGTGGAGGATAAAAAGGAAGCCCTTAGAATCTAGTCTGGTACCAGGAGTTCCCTAAAGCAAGGGCCTCCAACTTCAGTGTCCCTGGGAGAGCTGCTGGAGCAGTTCTGATAGGTGTGGAGGCCCCTGGTCGAGCTTGGGGACCTTTTGGGCCCACCTACTAGGTAGAAAACTGGGGGGAAAGGCGGTTGTTTTGGTGGAGGGAATGGTGTCCCCTGAGGCAGGAGGTAGAGTGAGGATACCTCCGTCCTCGTGCTCTTGACCTGGTTACTTCTCTGAACCTAGTCGTGCTCCTTACCTGTAAAACAGCTGACTGAGATTTTTCTGAGCAGTACATGAGATCATAAATGGAAACGGTCTGTAGTCTGCTGCTGACTCTTGTAAGTGCTCCCTGAAAGCTAATTCCATATATCCTGAATAAAAAAGGCTACAAGGAAGGGAGGAATGGTTTGGATTTGGCTGTCACTTTACCTAGTTCTGACAGCCTGCTGCAGGCTACCACCCTCCTCCCCTCCACATCTTTTCTAAGCCCCATTGTCTAAAAAACTAATATTAATCACTGCAAGTTCGAGGCCAGTCTGGGCTACATAGTGATTTCAAGGACAGCAAGGACTACATAGAGAGATACTGTCTCAAGAAAGCAAAACAAAATGTACTCTTTGTGTGGATGATATCAACAGTGCATAAAACTAAAGGGACTTATCTCTAGAGGTGAGATTCTCGAGACTGAGACAGGCTGTGGGGCAGATTGTTTGCAGCGGGACACTGCTGATACCATTTTGAGTACAGATTGCTCCTAAATGCCTGAGCCAGCACCATGCAGCCAGAGAAGGAACCATGACCCCTGCCTTTAAATCACTTGGAACAGGGCCAGGGATTTAGCTCAGTAGCACACTGCACCTGCTTCAAAGGCACAAGGTCATGAGTTTAATCCCAAGTACAAAAAAGAAAGAAGAATATTGTGTCACTTGGAACAATAACTGCCTTTTGGTAGCCATCCCCTACTTCCTACATAGATGGCTAGTCCAATGTGTTTGACGTATATGATTTTGGACTTGTAGAACCTTTATGTGCTTATGTTTTTAAATATGTAGGTAGTCCTGAGAGCTTATTATGCTTTTCCCTGAAGTTGTTTCTGTGACCCACCCGTATTGCTCTGTATCTGCTGTGTACCTATACTGCACTGTGCACTCTGCTCTGTGGTGATCTCTGTATTTTGCCCATCTTCTGATAGATTTGAAGATGGCCTCCAACTCCCTGCCTCACAAACTGCACTGCTTTGAACACCCTCCTGCAGGTCCCATTGTGAGAATTTCTTTTTGGAGATCCACACCAAAGAGCAGGTCACAGAGTAGGTGTGTATTGATTTACATTCACTGAGGACTGCCAGATTATCTTGTGGAATGACTGACTGGTGGTTTCTACTCTCCCCGACCCTTCCCCATACTGAACAGGTAAATCCCTGTGTCTGATCCATTCTGCATACCATTATCCAGCTTTCCATTGTTTTATCTTGTGCTTTTCTAATAACTAGTGCATTTGGACATCTCTTAATTTGTTAACTCCCTGATTTCATGTTCACATCTTTTCCTTTTTTTAATTGGGTTTGCTTCATTGTCTCAATTTTCAGAAATCCCAGCTATTAATATGTAGTACATTTTAAGCATTGTAAATATCTTCTGATGATGTGTTTATCAACTTTGCCTATGTTATCTTACATTGAACAGAAATCCTTCAATTGGTATATTCAAATTCATCTTTTTTTTCTTTGTGATTTATGTTTTTGAGAGTTTATGTAATAGCTAGCTACTTTGAGGCTTTTATCTCCAGCACTCTTCACAAGATATTCAGAAATCGCTACTAATCTCCCTACTTTTTAAGATATAACCTATGCTCTTTGTTTATGCCATTACCCACCCCACACCTCCTTGGGATCAGCAGTTCCTCATCTCTATAATTCAGTTGATGAGCCTGCTCATCTCTAAGGTTCTATACACTTCTGATCATCTGGAATCCTAAAATCATGAACTTTTTGGTTCAGTTACGTGTTTGCATCTTGTGAAAGGGCAGAAGGAGCGACCCAGGTGTAAAGGTATTACTGTAAAGGTATTACAGGTCTATTTGCTCATTGTTTCCAAACAAATCACTGGAAGTCATTTACTTGTAATGAAGAGACTTTATTCTGAGGTGATGTCGGGTCCTCCTGTGACCACAAACCACCATCTCTGAGTCTAGGTGTGCCATGATCTTATAGTAAGGCAGAGAGGAGAGGGGATACAATGAGACAGTGGGCATTTTCACCCTTGCTTCCTTCCTTCTGGCCACCTACTTCCCTGTGGAAAGGAAACTGGACTTAGAAGCAGGCACCAGCATCTAAAGAGGTTGTGGCCATGTCCTTGGCCTGAGGAAGTTTGGATAAATGGCTTACCTCACAAAGAAAAAATTCTGATTTTAAAGTTCTGTGTTGCCTAACTAGTACCAACCAGTTCCCTACTTGGATTAGCCCGGCCCTGAATCCTGAGGGCCTTGAGGTGGCCCATCATCTGTCTGTCTG